TCTACTGGCCAGGCTGCCAGAGGACACCTTGCTTCTGAGATGGGGCTTCTGAGGTTTGCAATTCAGCAAATGAAACAACAGCTGCTGCAAGACTTGAGAAACGCAGCTGACAAGTGGTAGAGTTTGGTTTTGAAGTCAGAGCCCACCTTTTGTATGAAAGCCCTGCCCTCCCACCTATGGCATTTCTCCCTTTATACAATGACTTGGACAAAGCTCCAGCTTCTAGATGGACCAAGTTTTCACAGCCTGTCCTCTTCCTTTATTTTTAGAAATCAGTCCTACCCAGAAAAGGAGGTAGCACCAAGCAGTGGTCAGATGATCAGATGCTGGCTTTGAATCTTGAACCTCTGCTGCTCCAGACGCCAGCCTCCTAAGATTTTGTTTCATCCCTACTAGAAGCTGACCTAAAATTTCCAACAATAGGAGGTGCTGGTGAGGATGTGGAAAAAAATGGACCTCTCTGACACCGGTGTTGGGAAAGTAAAATGGTGCAGCAGCTGTGGAAAACAGTTTGGTGGTTCCTGAAACACTAAACTTGCAAATACCATTCACCCCAGCAATCCCGCTGATGGGTATATAGAAGTGAAAATGCTCACATAGAAGCCTGTACGTGAATGTTTATAACAGCTTAACTCATAATCACCAATGGCTGGAAACAATCCAATCATCCTTCAATGGATGAGTGTACAACAAACTCAAGTCCTTCCATACAATGGAATATTCTTCAGCAACAAGAAGGAACAAAGTATTGATACAGGCAGTAAAGCTTTATGCTCAGATGCTTTATGCTGCAGTGAAAGGGGTCAGGCTGAAAAGGCTACATATCGTTGTGATTCCATTTATGTAACATTCTCAGAAAGACAGAACTATTGTGTGGGAGCACAGATGAATGCCCTCCTGGGGTGGGGGGAGGGGCTGACTACAAAGGGGTGGCACCAGGGAGTTTGAGGGTGATGGAACAGTTCTGTGTCCTGATTGTGGGCTGGTTTCACACCTCTAGTCATAGTCACAGAACTGTCCATGGAACACCCTGTATTTCTCGGGCCTGAGAGAATGGCCTTCTCTCCACTGCCTGCTCAGAGGAGACCCTTTCATCCATGAGCATCTCTTCAGGGGTACCTCCGAGGCAAAAGGCTCCTGGGACTAACAATAATCACGGTGTGATGGGGGTGGCCTGGTGGGGTCTGCTGTGGAGGGCACCCAAACTTCGTCTCTCAGAACTGACTCAGCTCAGGTGCCCAGGTTGAGGGCTGGGGTGGAGAGTCTTCATGGGTGAAGAGCCCTTCCACCCTCCCTCTGCTGTGCTTCTCAAGGTGCATGCTGGTTTATCTCCACACTTGCTCGCTGAAGAGTATGTCTTGATTAACGTGCTTAAGGAATGCCGACAGTGACTGCATTCTGAAATGTTTTGGCCATTGCAATGATCTTGACTGGGAGAGGAGGAAATGCTTGGAGAGAGAGTTTCTGGAAAGCAGACCGAGAGCAGGGGTGTGGAACTGTGATGCAAAAGAGACTGTCACCCTCCAGGGGAATCTGAAGAGTGAATTGTATTGCCACGAGATGCCAGGATAGCTGAAAGAATCCCATCTCCTCATCTGGCCTCCTGAGTCCTTTGAATGGAGTGACCTAGCAGCAGTCAAGCCATGGAGAAGTGCGGAAAGCCTGGCACTTGTTGGTCAGAGCCGTTGGTGCGCTCTCCTGCCAGGGACAATAACTGACTTCTCATGTGATTCTTCCCTTTGCCAACAGCCAGTTAACAGTCAAGTAATTTATCTGCCTTAATAAAATTGACTTTAACCACATTTTCCCTGTTCTATTAGATACTCCTGGAATTAGGGCAAATGGTCCCATTAGATGTCCCTTTTTTGACAATGTGACTTCTGGAGCTTAAACATGGGACAAAGCTAGGGCAAAAAAGAATTTGGGGAAATCCCAACTGTGTTAACTATATTAAAATGTTCCAATTTAAAAAAAGAGATAGTAATGGTGCTGGTATTTACCCTGACTTCTGCTGCTATTGCCCTTATTATTCTCATTTTTAAAATTTTTAAAAATATTTTATTTATTTTTGCATAGAAGAGCTGAGGTGTAAGCCAGAGATGCAGGGGGTGATGGTGGTGGTGGTAGCAGGATCCACCAGAGACAGAGTGGGGAGCAGAGCAAGAGGATTTACTGAAATACACTGCTGAAGGGAGCAGTGGGGGAGATAGGCAAGGTCTCCTGTGCTGTATGTGGGTTAGCTCTCTGTTCGGGGATCAAATTCAGGCAGTTGTGGTGATAGCACTGAAACTTAACCCCTAAGACACCAGGGAGGCCCGTTACTCTCATTTTGTAGAGGAACTTGGGACCCAGAGAGGTTGTAAGATCTACTGGAGGTCACACAGAAGACCTGGATCTGGTTGACACTCAAGTCTGTCCCCAACACAAGGTGGTGAGAACAAGTACCTGGAAGGTTACTGGCCTGGAAGCAGGTGGTACTGGCATCAGGTGTTTGGACTTGGCTTGGGTGAGGGTTTTGACAGCTAGCATGGCATTTCGAAGGGGCAGAGTTTAAGGTAGAGGGCAGAGCTTAAGGCAAAAGGGACAGAGGAGTCCCAGGAGCTGTCCTGGGCACCAGAATTGGAGAGAGAGTTATTGTGGGCATGGCTGGGGGTCAGGGAGTTGGACAATGAAGCTGGTGAAAGGCATGGTGACAGTACCACACTCTTTACTGCCAGAGGACCTCATGCCAAGCCTGTAAGGAAGGTTCTATTGTGATCCAGTGCTGCAGAAAGGAAAATCAGGGCACAAGCAGGGGAGGTCATTGCCCTCTATTGCATGTCTAGCACGCGGCCAAGCCAGGATGAGGACCCAGGCCTTTCCTATTCCAGCTCTTTAATCCTGAGCTGAGCATGGTGTCTTAAAGAGCAACGTTTAGAGCTAAAGGTGACAGCAAATGATGGTCCTGCAGCCAGGCAGTTAGCAAAGCACGCCTGAGCACCTACTGTGTGTCAGGTGCTTACTGGGCATGGGGACAGGCATCCCATAGTCACTGCTCCCATTTGCTGATGTTATTTCCTTTTCCTGTTTTGGTCACATCTCCCTGATGCCAAGTTCAGAAGTGGAGAAAAAGCTCTTGGTTCAGCCTTAGGGTTTTCCACTGTGAGTTCCCATTCTCCCTACCTTGAATTTGGGAAATACAACCCAGGTCCGAGGTACCTGACTGGATATAGGGACCTCCAGGAAAACAGAGTAAGAACACTATATCAAATGTTGCAAGCTTAAAGGACCTCAGGGACCAGACAGGCGATAATGATATGATGATGTTGGGGGTAAGAGAGTGGGGGTTCCAGCAAAGGCATCACTTTCAAACTTTGTAAAAAACATGGCTACCTGAAATAGTGGTGATGTTTACACAGTGTAGTGAACATACTGTGGCAGTGTAGAATCAGGGTGAGGATGGAGGTGTGGGGCTGCAAGGATTTACCAGAGGCAGTGGAAAACAAAAATGTGGATTTATTCAAATACCCTTCAAGGAAGCAGCAGGCTAGGTAGACGATGTCTGCGTGGGAAATACTTGGGATGTCCCTTTAATAACTGGTTTTCGCGGGCTTTTTCACAGTGGGGGAGTCAGTCACTGCTGGTTGCTGTCTGCTGGGACATCAGGTTTTGGTGGGCCTTCTGCACAGGAGGTGTCCTGCCTGGTTCTGTATGCCCTGTTTTCAGCATTTCCTGGAACTCTCGATAGCCGGCTATTGGTCATGCAGACCCATGGCCAGGTTCCCACCGCAACGCTATTGGTTTCGCTTTTCTTATGTTTTGTGCCTCGCAGTATTGTTCAGCTGAGCAAAGTGCAGATACCCTATTAAATGATACCCTGACATATACTTAATGCCACTAAATTGGACACTTAAAATGGTCAAAAGATACACTTTATGTTAAGTGTATTTGACTACAAATTAAAAAAAAAAAGAAAAGAAAAAGGAAGGATATCAATCAACAAAACCTGGCTACCTGCCAGATTCAGCATGCGTTTGAGACCTCCTGCATAGGCCCCACATGTTGTGATGTTATTACTAAACTTAAAAACTTGCCCAGCAGGCAAGTTTGAGAGACTTGAATGGATAAAGGGAGTGGATAGTTCTGCCATGGGAACTGGGGCTGTTAAGCTGATGATCGGGATCTTGAGTCAGGACACACCCAAGACTAGACACTCTAACCAGTTATTGACACCTGGAGTATAAACAGCTCCTTGGACCCTCTCTCTCCGTGCAGAACTCTCCTGCCTTGCCTTCTGCTCCCTTGCAGGTTATTTCAGTAAGTTCCCCTTTTCTGTTCTCTGTGCCTGGTGAATTCTTTCACCCAGGCCTCTGGCCTACATCCAGATTCTTCCCCGAAACACTACACAGTTGCCCTGAACAGTGACTGCTCTGTCCCTGGACCAGGTACAAGGGTACCTGTGCCCAGGTGTCTAGGGACAGCTGGAGGATAAGCCTTGGGTGTTTGCAAGCCACAGGCTCTGTGTCATCTGTTCTTAGTGTCTGCCAAATGAAACCTGAATGGGCAGCCTGGGTCAGCAGGGTTTTGCATGCACAAGCTGGGAGTTTTATGCACAATCTAGGGTTTGGAGAGAGAAGGGCAGAATGGAGGAAGCATCTACACACTGGAAGACTCAGCAATTAACGATTGTTCATGTCTCTCTTGGATCACTTATTGATTATGCTCTAGAAAATTCATTCAAAAAGCATTGCCCTTTGAAACTGGCCAGTGTGGAGCTTACTCCAAAGAACTGATGCCACCTGCAGAATCAGAAAGATGCCCTAGAAAATGGAACAATCATATTATAAGTAGATGACTTAAAACATCTGTGATAGATTCAACTAGTTCATGGCAAATTAGAAGGAAGCAGGCTATATTTTCCAACTTAGGTTAGTAGTGATTCTCTTATTAAAATACCTGTTGTCAAGATGCGATGCAATCTCCTGAGACTTTATCTCCATAATAATACAAGTTTTCAGGGAATAAATTTTTTAATGAAAAGGAACTTTAATACAATTAGTAAATAATACAGGAAAGGCAAAGAATATAGTTTCTAAATCAAGCACGCAAAGTTACCCATCCCCTCATGGGTAAAAGTCCACCCAAATGGGATTGGCCCAGAGCAAGGTCCCAAAGCCTGCCACAAGTCTAAAGCAGCTTCCAATGGGGACCCACAGAAAAGGATCAGAAACAACCTGAAAAGTCTGGGAGGAAAAGAGCAAAATCAAAATCAAGACAAAAACCACCATTGTCACCTCCCCATGAGTCTCACCCACATCTGTTTCAACCAGTCCACCACCAAAAGGCAAGCGCAGTTTGTCTCTCTGCTCCATGTGCCTCCTCCAGGTCTCCTGGCTCTCCATTATGCTTGCTTCCTTCCTCAGTCTCCTCTGCAGCTTCTCTCCCTGCTCAGCATCACCCTCCTTTTGGGTGGGGCAGGAAACCTAGAACCTCCCCCTTTCCTGGGGACCACCCTGTTAAATCCCCCCTTTTAATTTTTATTCCACCATATCTACGGTGTAGTCTTAGGAGACAGTCTTTTTTCAGGGTTACAATGTATGTAAGAGAAGCAACAATGAGCAGCATTGTCCATGAATATCCAGTATGACACTTTTCTATTACTGGAAAATAGTCCATTATCCAAGCCCAAAAAAAAAAAACCCACATCTGTAGGCATTAGCTAAAACAAGACAGCAAATATATCAGAATCATAGGAAAAAAAAATCTTAAAATTGGTTGAACTTATGTAAAAAAAACAAGTTCTCTCACCTTAATCCCAAATTGTTTCAACAGCATAGCAAAGTTTGCAAACTAAATCTACTTTTTAAACCATATTACCTATTTTTGCATAAAATCACAGGCAGAATAACTAAACAGCAATTTTAGCTGCTTTATTGGAATACTCCATATAGGATCAGAGCGAACTCTTGACATCCGGTCCATGTAGGCTTCAGGAACAAAGTTGGTCTCCTCAGACTCCACCTGAGCTTCCTCTTTTGAGGGTACCAAACCTTTTTCATTTGCTGGGTTGTCCAGTCCTGCCCATGGAGGCAGCTTCCTCACCTCCCTTAGGGGTCTCTGTAGCCTACGGACAGAGCAGCAGGTTCTCCTCTTCTTGGTTCAGCTGTTTCAGTTGCCTGGAGGATTCCACTCACAGCCACACAGTGACACTCATTTCTAATTTTTTTTTTTTAAGCAGGCAAAATCCCTGTGGAAGATATGCAAAAACAGACTCTGAGATAAGTAGTAAAAAAATTACTACCACTGTTTTTATGCTGTGTTGGTATTAAGAGGAGAGAAAATGTGAACACAAGTTAGCTCTGCTGGAAAAAAAAAGGCGACATTGCTGCAGATCCTAGTCACCAAAATAAGAAAACTGCGGATTCAGTACAAAATGCAAAAAAAAAAAAAAAAAAAAAAAAAAAAAAAAAAAAACAGTATTATGTCAAAGAAGACTTAGTGAAAATCAGGTGTATTTCCAGGTTTAGTCAGTCCTTTGTAGGAAATTTTTACTCTGAACAGTTCCATCAATAGGAATCTGTTGAGACCTTTCCCCCCCCCAAGACAGACACAAGGACATACAGACATATAACATATAGACAAAGACAGTTTTTTTAGTTATGCCATGTGGAATATCTTATGTAACTGAAGTTTTACTCCATAGGCTCAGAAAAAAATGTCAAAGTCAAAAAAAATGTGGCATGTTGATGGCAGAAATCAGTTTCCAGTTGTCATTCTCCAAACCTAAGACCACATCTGTTTCAACCAGCCCACCACCAAAAGGCAAGAGCAGTTTCTTCACTGCCTCTCTGCTCCATGTGCCTCCTCCAGGTCTCCTTCTGGCTCCCCATCCTGCTTCCTTCCTTCCTCAGTCTCCTCTGGGGAATAAATTTTTTAGCATTCCTCTGCATGAATAAATTTTGCCATATACCTCGCAGGACACCATTCCAAATCTGACCCAGGTGATGTCATTTTGTTGTTGTTGTTTTTTAAAAATTTATTTATTTATGCATACAAGACCTGGGGAACAGGCCAGAGGTGCCAGGGGTGAGAGGATTCACCAGAGACAGAGCGGGGAACAGAACAGGCAGACTGACTGAAATACACTGCCGAGGAGAGCAGTAGGCAACCCAGGAGAGGTCTGCTGCACCATGTGGGTAGCTCCCTGGCCGGCCGGGCATTGAACTCATGCTGCAGAGGCTGTGGACAGCTTCACGGTGCTGTACTTAACCCATTGCACCACCAGGGAGGCCCCAGATGATGTCATTTAATCCTTACAATCACCCTCTGAAGTAAATACCCATGTCAACATCCAGTTGGATGGATGAGGAAACTGAGGCACAGAGGATAAATTTCCTAAGTGTGGTGGTTCATTTTATGAGTCTGCTTGGCTGGGTCATGGTCCTCATGGTATTTGGTCAAACACCAGTCTGGATGTTGCTGTGAAGGTACTTTTTAGATGAGATTAATACTGAATCACGAGACAGAGTATAGCAGGTTACCCTTCACTATGTGGACGCCTTTTCGGACTTGAGCTGGAATGTCAGCTTGTGGGCATGGTCACGGTGAGGACTCAAAGGTAGACAGGAGTGGTCCCAGTCCTCAGGGAGCTGTCAGTCACAAGGGAAAAACAGATGTTAATCAGTAAATGTGGCGCCTTAAAGGAAGAGATGAGTATTTGACGAGTGTTTTTAAAAGGGTGGAGAAATCAAGGAAGGCTCCCTGGAGATGACTCTGACAACCGAGGGATGAACGAGAGTGAGGAAGACTGAGTCTTGCTGGTACTTGGATAATTAACACCTCTGGGGGCAAGCCTCGGCCAATGGCTGGCAGGGGGTTGTAGATAAATATCCTAGCTCCCTCGCCCACTAATGGGGTGACTGATCTTAAAAGAGAAAATTAAATGAAAATGAAGTAAAATGAAGATGAAACCATCCCTGGGGTACAGCGGTGCCTTGGGTATTGGGAGCCAGAGGACTAGGAGTCCAGGCCAGTGTGAGTGATGAAGAGGTGGGTAGCATCAGACCTCAGGAGACAGAAGCCACCACACTTGCACTCACCCTATACAGTAATGAGGAAAAACTTCCGATGTGGGAGGGGAGATCCCACAACAGCAACCTCCTTTGTGGCTTTAAACCACAAAGGCAGGTTATAGCCTATTGCTTGGCGCCCACAAAGGAAATGGTTTCTAGCTCGGGGCTGGGCCGACCTGACCTCAGTCTTCCGGCTGAGCTGTATGTGCTGTGCTCCTTTGGGTAACTCCTCCCTCTGAGACTTTCAGGTTTGCTCTTACTTCAGGGATGAGCTTGGGGCCCTCACATACAGCCCCATGCATGGGAGTGGCTGTCGTCCTGCAGTTAACTCAAAAACAAAAACTGGTCCTTTAAAAAATATATACATGTATATATAATTGTATCTTTATTGAGACATAATTCACCTACCTACAATGCCCCATATAAAATGGTTTTTAGCATATATATATTTATATATATGTATAAATATATATGTATATATATATAAAGTATATTCACAGATTTGGGCAACCTTCATCACAGTCAATTGCAAAACATCTTCATCACCTCAAAAAAGAAACAAACTCTGCACCCTTCAGTTGTCCCATCTCTACCCACTGTCCCTGTGCCCCTGACACCTAAGCAAGACTCATCCACGATTCTAGACATTCATATGGCTGGAAGAACATAACACGTGGTCTCCTGCATCATCATCTCCTCTTCCTGGACCTGGCCTCCTTTGTCAGCCCTCTGCCTGCCGGTCTCCTAACGCTGAGACCTACATGCATCACTGGAGCACACTTCTGATGGGTTTCATGTAGGCAGATGTGACAAGGGGCGCTGATGTCTAGCTTCTGTTACTGGAAAGAAAAACAACGTGATGGCTATTTTATATTACAAAAGTAGCTCATGCTTTGATTCCACTGACATGAAATATCTAGAATAAGTGAGCTCATAGTGACTGATGGTAGAGTAAATGTTAGTGAGGATGAGAGAAGACAGGAAAGGGGAATTATGGCTTAATGGGTGCAGAATTTCTGCTTGGGGAGATGAAACATTTCAGAAATAGATAGTGGTGATGACTGTATGATGATTGTGAATGTACTTATGTACCAGTGAGTTGTACACTTAAAAACAGTCAAAACAGGCTGTTACAGAGACCAAGATAACTATGAGAATTTCCTCAAGAATGCCTGGGCCATCTCTCAGCCCCTATGCTCAGTACGTCATCATAATCAACCAGGTCACACTCTACAAAGACCCAGCATCCTTTGGACATGATGAGGGCATGACCCATATGCCCAGCCACCCTCAGGCCTCCAGACCCCAGCCTAGAATGACAGAAGAAACTGTGAGCCCCTTCATAGGCAGGGAGGAGTCCCCAGCACTGGGACTGGCAATAAAAATGTGAGAACTAAGAAAAGGGGGTGTTAAAATGATAAATTTTGTTATGTATATATATGTTGCCACAGTTATATGTTATACAAAAAGATATATGTTATACAAAAAGAGTGTATAAAAAGTAACCCATGATTAATGTTAAAACAGCCAAACATTGCAAAATTGATAGACCCTAGAAAGAAATGATCTATTTTAATCCCACATACTCCTCCAAATTTTTCTATCATATTAACATGGGTACTTACTATTTTAAAAAATCTGGGTCCTCTCCATGTTCCACATTGCAAGCATTCCTGCAATACAGGATTTGTTACAGGCCAGGGTGAGGGGCACTCCAGGACCCCCAAATTTGCCTGTTCTAAATAGGTTCTGCCACCTGCTGCATCAAGACAAAACATACTCTAATGCATCAGACCTTCAATGGAAAGGAGCTTTGATACAATTAGTGTGCAATAAAGAAAAGAGAAAGGAAAGAATAGATAAAATAGTATCCAAATCAAGCACCCAAAGTTACCCATTCCCTTGTGGGCCAAAAAGGGTTGGCCCAAAGCAGGGCTGTTGAGGCCCAAAGGTTTGCCACAAGTCTAAGGAAAATTCTGGTGGGGAGCCCTAGAAAAGGGGCAGAAACAGCCAGATAAGTCTGGAAGGAAAAGAGTAAAATCAAAATAAAGATAAACCTCACTGGTCTCTCACCCGCATCTGTTTCAAGTGTCTCCTTCCATGTCCCCCAAGTTCCGGGTACAGGTCCAAGGCCAAGAAGCAAGCACAGCTTCTTCACATGTCTCTCTGCTCCGTCTGCCTCCTCCAGGTCTCCTTCTGTGTGGACTTCTAGTGAGTCCGAACCTGAAACGCGACGGTGAGGGAAATCAGACTTGGGGGACTGTCATGTCCAGCATGCAGCAAATCTTTATTGTCTTAGTGCTCATTATATACTATTTTAATTGTAGCAGGTGTAACATCAAAGCATACCACATAATGATAACATGTATGAATGATTAGTCTATTTTCCTACTATTATCTATTTACTTCAGACAGTAGGGTACCAGGTGGTTAGTTCTCACACACATAATCTTATCGCCCCCTAGCCAGAGCCTGGAAAGTTCGCTCATTATTTTGTTGTTGTAAAACTGTGGAGATGTACGCAGTTCACTTCCAGGCTCTCAACACCAAGTCCTGTCACCCAGAGGTTTTCCTCCGAGACACATGTGTTTTCACATGCCTTAGGGACTCAGGTCAAGGCCCTTCTGCTCACTGCGCAGGATCTCTCCATTTTGTTATTCTCAGACTGTGGAGATGTAGAAGCCTGACTCCACGCAGGTCACTTTCCAGGCTCTCAACACCAAGTCCTGTCACTCAGAGGTTTTCCTCCGAGACGCATGTGTTTTCACATGCCTTAGAGACTTGGGTCAAGGCTCTTTGCTCACTATGCAGGGTGGCCGCCTCCAACACTTCTGGCTCTCCATCCTTCTTCCTACCTACCCTCAGTCTCCTCTCCAACTTCTCCTCCTCCTTGCCCCTGGTTGGGGCAGGGAACCTGGAACCTCCCCTTTCCTTGGGGACCACCCTGTTACAGAATGATCATGCCAATGTAAGGCGGGGCCTCTGGAACACTCTGGATTCAGTGCCTCATGGAGGCCTAAGCACTTCCCAGCCCAAGGACTTAGGGGGTCAGAATGGACTCCACCTAAAACAGGTCAGATCACTTCATCAGGTAGCGAGAGCCCTGTCATCTCATGTTCCCAGAAAAAAGTGTTCGAATATTGTCATTGTTTCCAAATCTACATCCCTAAATCTACATCCTAATTGGGCATGGCAGAGACCTCACCTGTCCTGGTGACACAGCAGTTGGCATACATTGCATACAATGCAATACAATGCATACTTGTTGGATGAAAAATGGAGTAGTTAGGGGCAGTGCTACCCATCAGAAAAAACTCTGACTTTGGACTCAAGAGTCTGCCCTTCAAATCTCAGCTGTGTGGATGCTCCCACCAGGACTCTGGTTTCTCATCTGTGGAATGGGTATAACAAGGATAGGAGGGAAAATCTGAGGATGCTTGTTAAGTACCTGGCATGGAGTTAGGGCTCAAGAAACACGCACACCAACTCTCTCCGATCTTTTAGGAGATAACCACAGAAAACAATGTGAATGCACCTGGCAATGGAAATTCCTATGCTGGGGGGGGAGGGGGATTGTTTTCGTGAGCCCTGAGGTCCTGGCTAAATTTTGGGTCATAGCTAGTTATTGTTTCTGAAAGTTCTCTCTCACTCTTTTCCAAGACAAGGTTGTGGTATCTAGTACACCCCTGCCCCCACAGGCTCAGTAAGGAGCATCAGCAGTGATGACAAGGGAAATCCTCCCAGGTGACGGGGTCCTGGCTGAAGACAGTTGGGCATTCAGTGTGGGTCCCCCTCCAGCTGATTTTAGGTCATAACATCCCCCCATGTTCTGAACATACTCCTGAATGCTAAAGAAATAAGTGCTCATGATAAGCTGTTTTGTGAACATTTTCAGAAAAGATCACATAGGAGCAAAAAATCACTTGGAAGCCCACTGGTGATTTTGTTGGTTTTCTTTAAGTCAGTACTCTACACCCAGGTATCTTTGCTACCTTTTCAAAACTTGGAATGATTCTCAGGCACAATTGTGGAAATGACACCAGGGCCCTACAGTGTGGACTGCAGGGCAAAACCTGGAATTTTTCTCATCACTGCTTAAGCAGCAGAACCATTAGAAAAACATGGTGGTTTTTACCGCCCCCCTCCAAAAGTTGCTGCCTGTGGGCAGCCCCTCCCTCAGGCTCCAGCCTGAGTTGATCCAATAGTAATCAGTGGTTGAAGCCAAAGACTGTTATAGGTGGCGCCCCCTGGAGGGGGGTTTTGGTGAGGATAGATAGCATAACAGCAGTAAAACTGGGAACAGTTTCAGTGCCTCAGCTACTTGCAAAGTCTTTGAACTTTTCCTCTCTGAGGTTGGACGCTGGAGGCCTCTCCACGTCCTTCAGAGACCTGCATCAGTCTTCTGGAAGATCAACATGGTGGGGCAGAAATTGCTGATTCCAGAATCACTTAAGATCTGAAAACACAATCCTAAACACTGAATGCTGGGAGCTGCTTCTTCAGTCTCTTATATTTCTTATCAGCGTCTCCAACCCAAATGCAATACTTTGTTTCCATTTTCCCTGGGGCTGTGTATCTTCATCAGCACCCCCCTCCAAGGGGCACCACCTGTAACAGTCTTTGGCTTCAGCCACCCGTTACATTAACATCTCCTGTTGTGTTTTCTGGAGCTGGAACCTGACCTATAGTCTCACTGCTGCATGCTCCAGGTCCACAGTAGCGGGAAGACGCCATCTTGGGAGCATTTATGTTTAGGATTTTAAAACACTGGACACTGCTTTGGGTGAGGTAAACGGCCATATTTGGCCTCAGTAATTCTTTGTTTTTCCCTGGTTTGTTAAATAAATCCCATTATTATTGTTCTCTGAACCTGAGTAGTCTTGCAATTGTGCACACAGGTGAAGAACTCAGACGGTGACTGGTAAATTACTTGGGCAGTGTCCTTTGGCCAGTGCCCCTTGCTGCCCTATATCACAATCAGGAGATATCTGGGATTGGGGACTTAAAAGTAGACATAAGGAAGTGCAGGAGTGATCCCCGGTTATATCCTGGGATGCCAATCCACAGCCTAGACTCCTAGCACTCTGTAACTGACCTCAGAAAGAAAAGGAACAAGTCTTAGGAGCTGACATCTGAAGATAAAGAAGCCAAAGAGTTTTGCAGGGATTGGGAGGCTGGGCCTGCCTCTGACCTTGTCGCTATAATTGCCTGGGAAGAGTGAAGGCCCTGGGCCTGGTGTCTCAGAAAGCTGTTTATCAGATTGTGGGTGCTGCCTTTGCTGTTATCTGTTTCAGCATCTGGTGCTGTTCATCCGGACTTGCAGACTGTGGCTGTGGGCTGCCGTGGCATCATCTCAGTGATCCTGCCCATGGGTGCTTCTGGCTGCCACTTGCTTCAGGCCCTTGTTGGTCCAATGGCGCCATTTTGGAGGAGTAGCCTCTTGTTTGGGACTTCTGATCACTGGGCTCTATCTAAGACGAGAGTTGGCCACTTGTGAGCTTAGTAACTCTTTGTCCCATTTATTAAATAAACCCCATTATTTTTGTTCCCTGAATCTGAAGACATTCCCAATTGTGTGCATGGGTGAAGAACCCATGGACAGTGACCTGTCTTCTATTGGGCACTGTCCTTGTATGGCTGGATAGTTCCCATATAGCCCTGCTTCAGAAACTGCCATGTTCTCCTAGAAATGTGTCTGACTGTTTTCCCGCACCAGGGAACCTTCAAGGTTGTGGTATATTCCAGACCTTCAGGTGACGGAGGCTGTACTCATGTTTGGGGAAGGGCTGGACGCATGTGCTAAAACATTCACAGGGGTCAAGACTGAAGGCCTGGTCAAATTCTGCCTCCCACACTTTCTGACTCTGAGGTCAGACAGGTGTTTTAACCTTCCTGTCTGTTTCCTTGTCTGTAAAGTGAGAATATTTTCTCGTTCATTTCACAGCCACCCTGGTTCCAACAGTGAGTAAACAGCAGAGACAGGATTTCCACAGAATATATATCACACTGCCTTCCCAGCAAGTTATAAAGTTGCACCTACAGTACTATATAATTCTCATATAATCACACATTATGCTTGTGATATCCTGTTGTGGTTCGTTATGTCAGGCATATAAATTTCAGGGAGTTCTGAATTTGTGTTATGTTTTCACATTCTAAAAAGATTTAAGCAATGAATTCAATTGAAACATGCCAAAAGAGCAAAAAGTAGGTGCCACAACCAGCTTGTTTTTTGTGTTTTACATTTTGAAAGCACAGGCTTATTAGGAAAAGGAGAAAGAAAAAAGAAACACCTGCATTGACACAGGTGGGCGGAGAGCTGCCTAGAGCTTTTTCTTTTAAGTTTGAAGTTTACAGAAAAGTTGAATAGAAAATACAGAGTTGAGGAATATAGGGGAAACAAATAAGGGATCAGGAAAAATTTTACAATAATAATAAATAAAAATGGGACCTCCTTGGTGGTACAGGGGTTAAAGTCTCAGTGCTCTCATGCTATCTCCAGCCACTGACTGCAGTATGAGTTCGATTTCCCAGCTGGAAGCTAACCCACATGGCATAGCAGTCCTCTCCTGTCTCACCTGCTGCTCCCCTCAGCAGTGTATTTCAGTAGATCCACCTGTTCTGCTCCCCACTCTCTGGTGAATCCTCTCACCCTCAGCACTTCTACCCTACACTCCAGTTCTTATATGCATAAATTTAAAAATAATAATAAAATAAAAATGAAACAAAATTAGCAGGCAACTATAAATCAGAGACATTCTGCAAGGGAGGGGGAGGTAGAGGAATCTAAACAACGGAGAGAAGAGCACAAGGGACTATGGTGATGGTTCACAGGTGATTTGGTGGTGGGAATTTTATAGGGAATACACCTGAGAGGAGAAATCATTCATTGCACAAAAATGAACAATGATGTAATATATATATGTGTTTGCGTATATATATTTATATATATTTCTATATATATATAAATACAGAGTTCTCACCTCTCTCCCCAACTCACAGGTTCCTCTGTTAATATCTTGCATTGTGGAGGTCAATTTGTCACAACAGATAAACCACTGCTACCCTCACTGTCCCAGTTCTCTGTGCTCCACTTACTCTGCCCACCCACACCCCCAATTCATGACAACCACTGATGGTTTCACTGTCTCTGTCATTGTGATATGGGGCAATAACAGGTACTAAAACTGGCCACGGACAGTGCCCAAATAGTTTACTGGTCACTGAGTTCTTCACTCCTGCACACAATTGCAAGACCACTTAGCTTCAGAGAACAACAATAATGGGATTTATTTAACAAACAAGGGGGAAAAAAGAGTCACTGAGGCCACAAATGGCCTGTTTTTTCATCCAAAGCAGTGTCCAGTGTT